ATATATATATATATCTTAGGATCTATTCCGTAATCAAGGGGCCCCTTGGACTCTGCAAGTAACCACTGCCAGAACCCCGGGCGCCAGGTTCCTCGGTGCAGGATCGCCGCGGCCCCCTGCAAGAGCTGAAGGAGAAGAAGTCACTGAGGCCCCGTTTGGTACCCTAAACCCTAAACCCTNNTAAACCCTAAGCCCTAGGCCCTGAACCCTAAACCGTAAACCCTCGGCTTGTGCATTTTGCCGTGAGCTGACGCATAGTGTAAGCCTCAACTGAGGCGAGTCTCGCCGCGAGGAGAAAGGGACTAGTACACTTAAAAAAAGAAGCCCTAAGCTGTGAAAGGGGCCTTCGAAGAGAGTTGAAGGCGCAATTTGTCTTTGAATGCCGGCGCTTTGCTGGTCTATTTCAAGAGGACTCTGCTGGTGAGGGTCAAGGTGTAGAGGCCTCGGGTTTAGGGTTTAGGGTTTAAGGGTTTAGGGTTAAGGGTTTAAGGGGGTGAAGATTGCCTAGATTTGGGTCTCATGGACATTGATGCTGCTGTGTTTCTGCTTCAGAATGGTTTCGTGCAGTTCGGTCGTCGGCATGTCATCCGGCGCTCGAGGTTCTTGTTGAGGAATGTAGGTTAAAGTTTCCTTCACAAGAAAAGCATACTGCTTAATGCTCATGTCTATGTCAAGGTAGTGCAAATTACGTTCGGTAAGAAGAGAACAGAACTGTGCTCCTGACGTTTTCATCACCAATGGGTAACCAGCCACCAGCCCCTTTCAATCCCTCGCGTCTTCATTCCGCCCTTGTGCAGGCGCGAGCGCACCTCTGAAGCCCACTTGCCTCAGCGCCAAAGATCTCACTGCATCCCAGATCCCACGAGAGCCCGGCCACGGCCCAAATGATGCTCATGATGCTGTGCCACGTTTTTCCACAAATCCGTCGGGAAAGCTTAAACAACCATTTTCAGCAACCGTCCCAACTTTCGACGGCTCCCGGGCTTCTTCGGAGGTAGGTCGGTGGCTTTGGTGCTACCCTGTAAAGCAAAAGCTTCGGCGCTTTACGCGCCGAGTCATCCGGGTGCAAGTCCCGACTTCGCTTCCCCCGCTCCAAGGCCTGCTGATGCTCATGATGCTGGCCCAGATCCCGGCTTAAACCCTTGCTGGCTTAAAGTGCCAACCGTGAATTGTTGAGCTGTCGTGGCTCCCGCGCACATGTGGACCTCATAGGTCGCGGCGTTCACCCCTGCGGTCGTTTCCTGATTTGAGAACCGTTCAACACCCATCAAAAGGACCTGTGATGCTCATGATGCTGGCTCAAGTTGCTCGGCAAAAGAAGTCCAGTTTCCAATCCGTCGTCCACTTAGTACCGCAAAAATGCAAAAAGGAAGTTAAAACCGCATCCGAAGCACATCCCGGATTCAGTTTTCTCGAGGAAGATCATGCACCCGCGGCTTTGAGGGATGTATGATTAAAGCGAGGATCGGTCACCCGCCCGCTTTGGGGGTGCATGACCTTATATCATGCGCCCATGGCTGTGCCCCAAAACATGGGGTGCTTGATTGAGGTGTGTGCTTGAAGGGCGATCATGCAGAAGGAGCGATCATGCATCTCCGCAGTTTTTGCAATCCGCAGATTTTGCACCGCAACCCGAGGGTCTGCGTGATTCACAGGTTTGACACGTTAACCAGGGGAAGTGGGATGTGTATGACTGAAAGGGTGATCATACATCTAGGCGGTGGCGAACGGCAGATGGACATCACGGGAGTGAGGGTTTAGGATTTATCAGTCCTCAAACAGCTTCCCACCGCCAAGGTGAAGCAGTCTTAGCCATTCTGGGGGTTCCCTGATAATCAGGGCCCTAACCATACAATAAGCCCTGACAGACCCCCAATAAGCCCTGAACTTTATAAGCCCCAGACCCTGTAAACTTTAAACCCCTAAACCCCTAAATCCCTAAACCCTAAATAACCTTGTAAGGCTTTCCTCTGCTGCTTCAGGACAAGCCTCGCAAAGGCGCCCGAGGGGAGCTGCAGCGGCCACATGCGCCTTCCCCCGAAGATTGAAGGGTTCATGGGGTTTAGGGCTTGATAATAGGGTTTAGGGCTTATAGGGTTCAGGGTTGATGGGGTTTAGGGCTTATAGGGTTTAGGGTTTATGGGATTTAGGGCTTATAGTGTTTAGGGTTTAGGGTTTCGCAAGCCTTCCCCCGAAAAGATGGGATCTTCGGGGCTTCCAGGAGTCTTTTGATTGCGTTTGGAGGGTTTAGAGTTTAGGATTTAGGGTTTAGGGTTTAGGGTTGAGAGTTGTTGGGTTTAGGGCCTTTTGGGTATCTGGGTCTGTGTTTTTGGAGCGCTGGCAGAGCCCAGATTTCGACACTTGGGGCTTCGAGCCTAGAAGGCGTAAAGATTTAAGTGTTGTCCTCAGTCAGCTCCTTCGGGTCCTAACCCTAAACCCCTAAACCCTATAAGCCCTAAATCCCATAAACCCTAAACCCTATGAACCCTGAACCCGAAACCCTAAACCCTAAACCCTAAACCCCAAACCTTAAGGTGAGGAGTTGAGCCCAGAGCCGAGATTCCACGGCGAAGGGAACCCAGTCTGCTTGGAGGGGGCCCTTGTTGAGGATCTTGGGCTAAGTTACCCTAACGAGTCGAAAGAGAGCATACAGGCCCTAAGCCCGAAACCTATATAAACGGGTAGAGAAAAGTATGCAGTTGTCAAGAGCAGATCAAGCAAGAAACAGTTCTAGACTATGACTATAACTTATGGTCTTTATTACAATCCCTCCATGCATCTCCTGCCCCCCAAGGCAGTTGGCGATCGATGGACTCGTGCAGTCTCCGGGCCTGCACCGAAGCTTTCTCCCTGGCGCTGCTGAATACAGTACCACCCCCCGTGCTGCTGCCCCTGCCACTGCAACCACTGCCACTTCTGCTCCTGCTACTGCTGCTGCTTCTCCTGCTCCTGCTGCTCCTGCGCCTAATGCAGATCTTGGTTTAAGACGAACATCCAGGTCGCATCTTGTCGTAGGAAGGAGGGGAATGACAGTCCCTGAAGGTCCCTTTGAGAAGTTTCCTGGCCCTTAAGGTCCCTTAAGGTCGTCCCGATATCTTCTCAATTTCGACACCCAAGCTGCGGTTTGGGGCTCAGGCTCAGGGTTTCAGGATTTTCTAGCAGGTTTTTTGGGCGGTTCAAGGTACAATATTCCCATATACCCCAAACCCTAAACCGTAAAAAGGGCACTAAAGAGGGCTTTGAGGGCACCGAGCTTCGATTGTTGATGATGACGGCCCATAAGTTTTAGGGTCTATAGTAGGGTTTAGGGTTGGATAAAGGCTCCACGCAAAGGTTCGAGCCGGCTGTGGAGTTGAGCGTGGACACGGGGGGAGACACCGTGGTCGCTGTGAGCACCCTGAAACGCATCAGTGGAGTTTGGGGGGTTACGACGGATGAGGATTGAGGGATGAGGGGTGTTTGGGGGGTCTTAGCATTGGGGGTAGTTCCTGTTTTAGGTGTTTTGGGAGTTGTCGGGAGTCTCCGAGGTTGGGCCTTTGGGGGAAGCCCTTATGAATCCCGTCAAAGTCACCCGAAGCCGCACTTGAGGCGGAACCGTGAGGGTGAGCGTGGAGGCGTTGGTGGAGGCTCCTGATCGCGGGCTTTTGGGGGACTTGTAGGGTGGTGTTCAAACCCTAAACCCGAACCCTCTATCCCCTTAAGCCATCCTAGACCCTGAACCCTCTATCCCCGAAGCCGAAAAAACCCTAAACCCTAAACCTAAACCCTAAACCTAAACCCTAAACCCTATTTGGATCACTGCCCTTGGTTTAAA